TGCTCTGGTAAAATTAAAGTGCAGTATTACCCTTCATTTTCAAGCGGAATCAGTTTACGCGTTACAGGCTCATCCGCCAAGATTCCCTCTATTCAAAGGCATGGGGGAATTTCTAGTCTATGCTTCATTTCAATCGAAACGTCTTCAAGCGTAACCTTACGCTTGATTCAAGCACATTTATTAATTTCTTGTAGACTTTTACGCGAGTGGAAACAACTTCAAAAGATTTGTATACCGAAATTCATCACAGGTTTTCTAAGTGTCATAATGATCTAATTTTAAAAGCGACAACTTTTTTATTGCATCTAAAGCGCCTTGAAAGAGTGAGTGCATTGTAAGTGCAACAAATATTGTATTGCATTACCGCATTTATCACTCTATTAGCGTACACTCTAAGTGTGGAGTGCCCAGAAACTGGGATCCATGGCCTTTCGTCCCTTATCAACACGTCCCTGTGACAATTCGTCTCCACCTATTACGTCCTCAGCTCTTTTTGTCCTTTGTCGATTTGCCCCCAATTTCAAGATTTTTGAAGGTATATGGAGTATCAACTCGTAGTTCCTATTTCCGCGCGGAATATAATCGGGGCAACAATAGCGAGTGTTATAGGGTGACAAAAGCAGGAGTTCCGCACACAGTGGACCAGGAACCATATTTTCGTAATCGTGAGGTAAAAATTCAAACTGACTCCTAGGACTATTTGACCCTGGATTCCTACTCTTAAATGGTCTGTATCAAGTTTAGGTCGACTCGTTCATGAGTGGAGGGGCAACGAAATCAAATATCCCACCACATGTTATGACGTACACACTAAGTTCTTGTGGACTTTTTTACGCATAGTTATGCATGCACAGATACGTCCATATGTTATGTATAATATTATGCATCACTGTGGACATTTTGTGCAGGAAAATGCATAAAATGTCCACAGTGATGCATAATTTTATACATTACCTTATGGACGTTTCTGCGCATGCATAACTCTGCATAAAAAATGCGTCCTTATGCATTTAAAAAGTCCATAAGAATTTAGTGTGTAAATTCCACATTTTCTTCCGTTATGTTTTAAGGGGAGGTTCTACTGAAAATCTTACTTTCTTCAATATTGAAGTCCCTGTTCAATATTCTTGTAGCAATTTAAAGTCTTTTAATGCATTACGTTAAAAATTGTGAATTTGGAGAGAATACTGCGCGCAACACCACGAAGTGAATTTTGCGACTATTTCCAGCGTCCCTTATATAAGTGCTCCTTATGCTAAAACAAATATGACTTTTTTTATTTTGTTCAAAAAAAGTTGATTTTACAGATACTGACCATTTGTTCAAACTTCATAATGTCTTTTTAACAGCTGCAAATCAGAATTTCGAAAAAATGTGAAAATTTCGTGTCATTAATTAGTGCTACTAAAGCACCCCATTAAATGTTGTCAGTTTAGGTCGACCCGTTTATTTATAGGGGCAAGAAATCAAAAAATTCCCCCCAAAATGTTTACGTTAAACTTTCTTGGGAATTTTTTAGATATTTGCTACAATAGGCCTTTTTAAAAATTTCACTTTGGAAATTTTTGGAGGGGGGAAAAAGGGTAAAAATTTCCCCGTTGCTATTTTTAAAATATTATTACTTCTCCTGCAAAATTTAAAATGGGTCCCCAATTTAAAAATCCAAAAATTTTTGTAAACCCTTTTTTCCCCTTTTTTAAAAACAAACCAAGCCGACTGGGCTCCAGCAATCCACCCGTACTTCTTAAGAAATGTTATGAAGTGCCTTGAACTGTTTAGATTTCTATGGTCTGCGTATTGGCAACGAGTCATTTGTAACAAAAGCCGAACAAAAGCGCCTAAAACCACCTTCTCGTGATATTAATTGGAGAAAAAAGGGAGTTACTTCGCGTTACAAAAGCACCAACAAGCTGTACAAGGCAGACTGTCCCAAGTTACCCCCGTTGACGGTATCTGTGCTTGCACAATTATGCTTAAAAGTGCATAATTATGCACTAAATGTTTTTGTTCAAATTTTGTACGAGACATCACAGTTTTTTGTGCACACGAACTTTTTGTACAAATTTGTTCAAAATTTTGTACAATTTTGTACGAAAATGGCGAAAAGTGTGCAGTTTTTCGTACCAAAATTGTGCAAAAATTTCGTGTGCTTA